CACGCTACTAATGACTTGTTATTGAACGTGAGCGATTGTTTATGTACTCTATCTATTGTCCTTATTCTGAAAGCTCGAGTTTTGTACCACACCCAACTTTGGGGGGCTCTGACGTCATTCTCGGTCGCGGTATGATTGTCATTTTCAGTGTTGATTATGTTGATATATTGATCTTCTCAATACACTTTACTTCATGCATGTATGTTTTGTTGTTTTTTGAGCAAGAGTGATTTCAAACTCTGGTAAAGTTTCTTTTGGACGTCAGTTTACATGAACACTATAAAATGATACCTTCGACATTTGGAGAGGAGAGCGCGGTTTGCAATCGATCGAGTCGAATCCCGATCGTTCTAAGTTTTCCCCATTTAGTGACGAGTCTGGCCGGTCTGATCCTGTCCTTTATTGATAGATGGACTGAGAGTAAGTAAAACTATGTGAGTGTAAAGCTGGTGTTGCGTTTCTTTATTATGCGAGTATGAACGCTGATAGAAACAACTTGGAGTAAGCGTCGTTAGGCCAATCACTCCTTGACGGAAAGTCATGGCGTAATTGCCCATGATGACCAGGAACGGCAATACTTTTAGTAACTGTAGTAGGGTCGCACTTGACGCCCGAAAGCAGTTACGACACTATTCCTTCTGTGGTATGATTCGTTGTGCGTCCTCCATGCGTGGCAAATACCAGTTCAATTTTTGATTCGCCCTGATTATGTTTCTAGGTATTCAGAACAATCCCTGTGCTCGTGCATCACTTCCTCCAATATCTAGCTGACACACATGACACTATTCCTTCTACGCTTTCAAAAACAATCTGTGCTTGCTGACATAAGTTCGAAACGTTCGGGGGGACACGGGTGGCCCAGTCGTCTAAGGCGCCGCGATTCGCTGTACAGAGTTGCGTCCCTTGAGCACACCAGAAACCTATGATTGTGGGTTCGAATCCCGGTTCGCCTCGATTATGTTTCTAGGTTTGTCAGCACCATACCCGTGCTCGTGGGTTTCCCCGAAGTGGTAAACGTCTGAGACCTGCATCACTTCGGGCTTTCCTCCCACATTAAGCTGACACGCCGCGATATAACTGTAATACTGTTAAAAGCGGAGTTAAACCCAACTGACTCACTCGAAACGTTCGACGAAGTTTGACCTAAAACGTGAAGAAAAAACAATGTGTGCACAACAACTCTTGCGCTCCTACCTTCACCAGACACCCAAGTGGAAGGGAAATTTAAAATGACATCAAATTATATGTCCGTGACGTTGTCAAAAGAAAAATATTATATCCATAAGAAATGCAACACCATCTTTTATAAAATTAACCCTTTTTCTCACAGGTTGGCATAGTCGTTTTAATAAAATAATCAGGAAACTACAACTGAGAGAGTGAGTTGGCTTTAATGCCGCTTTTAACAGTACTATATCGCGGCGTGTCAGCTTAATGTTGGAGAAAAACCCGAAGTGATGCAGGTCTCAGACGTTTACCACTTCGGTGAAACCAACGAGCACGGGTATGGTGTCCGTGCCCCCGAACTGCAACTGAAGCTGTACAAGATCACTTCCCCTCTACACAGTGGAGTTGTTTGTTCTCCGGAGTTTCATCCTCGACGAGAAGATACTTCCCATTAGGGATATGTCATTTCACGAGATACAGTTCTTCCAAGAAGATACTTCCCAAAAAGGATATGTCACTCGGCGAGGTAAATCTCTTCAAAGTAGATACTTCCCATTAGGGATATGTCACTCGGCGAGGTTAATCTCTTCAAAGAAGATACTTCCCATTAGGGATATGTCATTCACGAGAGAAATGTCTTCAAAGAAGATACTTCCAAGTAGGGATATGTCATTTCACGAGAGAAATGTTTTCAAAGAAGATATTTCCAATTAGGGATATGTCATTCGACGAGATAAATCTCTTCAAAGAAGTACTTTCAATTAGGGATATGTCATTTCACGGGAGAAATGTCTTCAAAGAAGATATTTCCAATTTGGGATATGTCATTTCACGAGAGAAATCTCTTCAAAGAGAAACACAATGCGAACTCCTAATGAGATGTAGTTGAGTGTATGGATCAGTCATCTGAATTAAAGCAAAACTAAATCAAATTTGACAGTTTCAAGAATAATGTAAATATGACATGACATATATGCATGACATTTACATTAGTATCAGCAAGTTTATGTAGTCTAGAATGTTATAATGAAGAAATTGTTGGACTAAATAAAGAGAGAAAAATATATACATGTATATCATGACTCGGTGAACGGAATGATATTCTGATTTTAACCCTCGTCTCCCTACACCTACAAATTTATTCCATAACAATAACTGTATTTGCGAACTATAACATTTTCGTTCTAAATAATAGTTGGTTTCTCAAAGCCAAAAATTAATCCGATTGAACACAATATGTTCATTTCTAATGCGGTTTAGTATAGAATAGCTTCTTATAATTAATTAGGTAGGTATGTGTACCCTGTTCAAAAGCACATATTGTAATTGACGAAGTGGATCAAGTAACATACTTATGAACATTAACGGCGCGTAATTGAGGAAAGTGTTCAGTAAGTTGGTCTGGTCTCAAGATATGTTTATTTTGTTATTTCAGACGGATTGTGTTGCTTGAGATCTATGGAGTTGAAATTTGAGACATTTAATATGCTGGTCTCAAAGATGGAAACATGTGATCTCTTCGTCGTTGATAAATTGAGAGGGATAAAAACATGCCAAATCACAACCGTTCAGCGACAATTCTTACTCATTGTCACAGGTTATCTCGTTTCAATTCAATGCTGAAAATGATATTTCACGAAAAGAAAGAATGGACTTGCCAAAAATCGATTTGGATTTGTTGAAAATGAAGGTAAATTGATATGGTCTCTATTCCACTGTCCATGCCCAATATTAATGCTCAGTGTCTCAATGTTATCTATTCGCATCTACATTTAGCGTATCCCAGGCAAGCTGGATAATCAACCAACCACAGGCAAGCTAGACAATTTGCCCGAAGTTGTTCTTCCTGTTCACGAATAAACCGTTTACAATAAATGTCCTCTTAATTGACTGTTTGTCCTGTATTTCTTGTTTATTCAATAAAGGTCGCATGGCAGGAGTGCTGATGTGAGGCATCAGGCAACGAACTGATACTTACCTTTTTATTCAAGTTGTGTGACAGCCGATTGCTGTGCGCTTGCTGGAGACCAGGGAAAGAAAAGGGCACCTGTGTCTTGTGCAATGCTGACATCAGTGACCCTCTGGTCCACAGTGTGTGCTCGTGTGTGTACCGTACATATTTACGTGACAGTATCTAGATGGACATTATAGACTGTAGTCCTGTAGAAGTGAGCGTCAGTCTCCACAGTAAAAATGACACTGATCTTGTGTGTTCTCTGGTCTCGTGCAGACCTCCACTTCCTCTGCCAGAAGAAGATACAATAAACTATGCAAAGACTGTAATACAGCACCTTTCAGCATTCGCATCAACTCCTGAACTTTAAAATAACATGTATCTAGTCCCCTAAATATTTTTTAAATATTTTGCCCTGCATATTGTACTCTCCTTTGGAGTCCTCTTTGGAGGAATAAAAGCTTATATATATATAAAATAAATGTCCTCTTAATTGACTGTTTGTCCTGTATTTCTTGTTTATTCAATGAAGGTCGCATGGCAGGAGTGCTGCTGTGAGGCGTCAGGCAACTAACTGACACTTACCTTTTTATTCAAGTTGTGTGACTGACGATTGCTGCCGGGGGGGGGGGGGGGGGGGGGGGGGGGGGGCAGGACATGATTACCCTTTTCGCGAACACCTGCTATCATCACTGATCATCCTTTAATTTCACCTATTTTGTACCTTCTTGAGGTTCCGTTAAGTTTAACTTAAAATTCATGTATATCGAGGATTTGATATCGTTCAATAGCGGTCTGATAGCCCATTCCCTACCACTAACTAACCCAGAACAAGAAGTAAAAGACACTAGTGAAATAGCCTCCTCTGTTTAATATTTAAATCTATGCATCAAGTTTAAAGTGACACAAAAACAACACAAGGCTGTATTACAGAGGATGACTTCAACTTTCCACTGGTCAGCTTTCCCTTTTTGTCGAGAAATATTGCAGCACCTCTATATTTCACAACTTTTCATGTACAATCGAGCATGCTCTTTCCACGAAGGTTTTAAAGAGAGTCATAAGACTTTTACTCAAAAGTTGGTTGATGAAGGTAAAGCATTCGCACACGTGAAGGCCCTGGTTAGAATAGGTCTTCAGCAATTAAGAGGCGACTATGCTTGTCGTAAGAGGCGACTAATGGGACCGGGTGGTCAGGCTCACTTACTTGGTTGATGTCATCGTATCCAAATTGCGTAGATCGATGCTCATGATATCAATTACTGGATTGTCTGACCCAGATTCGATTATTTGCAGACCGCCGTCATATAGCTGGAATATTGCTGAGAGCGGCGACCTCCGCCGATCCCATCAGTCGCCTCTTACTACAATTCTAACCCGGATCTTCACAGAAGTTAATGTTTATAGATCACGATAATATACCGTATACATATAGCTTATGACAGTCACACGCATTTGGTCTCGTATGCCAGTAACAAAATGTTGTGTATTTTCATAAAATTAAGTGACATACAGCGTACAAATATGAATATATAATGCGTATGAACTGTCCCGATGATGTATTGTTCTTATAATGGATAGATATTTTATTGTATATTATCTATTTTGAATTATAACATTTTTTTCCTGCACTCCAACCGACACTGGACTCGAAATTCCTTACTTTTTCTGTAAAGGTTTCACTTTACCATGTTTAATTACCCATCATTCAACTATCCTTGACAAGAGTTTAAGCCTAGCGGCGTCAACGCTTTGTGTTTGTATAGCGAGGTACAGGAGGTGCCGATCCCCGTATAATTAATTTAGCGTTGTCAACAATGACGTCAACGCCGATGTTGTGACGCACCTTCAGTGTCTGTCTTCAACACAGTGTGAGGCCTTCTACCTGGGACAGCTGTATTACATGCCTGCTATGATGGCTCTGTCTGTACCGCGCGGGGAGTTCATTGTTTTGTTAATCTTCCATTCACTTCAAGTGGTCACATCACGTAAGTATTAATTATATGTATGTATTATCATATATGTACGTATATTGTATGTGTTTTCGCCTTTTCACAAACGCCTGGTATCACCATTATATGCGGTAAATTCATAAACACGTGCTTTTGACATTGTCGGAATAGTAAAAGGGGCTCTGAATTTAACAGATATTATGATAATGGAAATTGTTTTGTCGTTTCTATTTATCTGTCATGAAATTCTGTTTCTTTGATCGATTTACTTAAATGTTTCTCATGAATTCGGGGGCGGTGTGACAGCCTGGTGGTTAAAGTGTTCGCTCGCACGCTGAAGGACCATGTTCGTTTTACCATAGTTCCCAATGTTTGAAGCCCATTCTGGGGTCCCCTGACATGACATTGGTGGAATGTTTCTGAGGATCGGGGTCAGACAAACCAGTGGTTTATATTATGAGCGCTATTGTGATATGATGACACGCAATCAACCACATCACTGAGTCTGATCGAGTTTAGTTGTCTCTTGCGATGAGCAACACCGTGCCCGGGCCTTTTCTAACCCGGGTTACAGGACAGCAGTGAAGTTGATACAACATTAAAGTCCGGAGGTGAATTACGTCTATTGTTTTGGGGGTACATTGCTATGACGGAATGGCCTTCATTCCATGTGTGCCGTTCACAAAGCGTGTATATGGTGGTTTTGAAGGAGGGACATACATTAAGAATAAAATACTCCTCCTCGGTTTTTGTTGAAAATGTAAAACTGCGAGCGAAGAAAAAGATACATCATAGTGAAACAATACAATATGTCGCTTATGAAAGGAATTCACCAAAGCGTGCGAGAAACAAATAACACGTGCGGCATGGACACAAATGAAGTCATAACATGTAAATTTGAACAACCTTTCCACACAAGAAACCATTATTGTGGGTTCGAATCCTGGTTCGCCCCGATTATGTTTCTAGGTTTGTCAGCACCATACCTAAGCTCGTGGGTTTCACCGAAGTGGTAAACGTCTGAGACCTGCATTCCTTCGGGCTTTCCTCCCACGTTAAGCTGACACGGCGTGATATAACTGGAATAATATTAAAAGTGGCGTTAAACCCAACTCAAAGAAAGAAAGAAAAGAACAACCTTTGAGCACCTTCACCGGTGGCTCAGTGGGAAACAGTAGGTTATAGATTAACACGATATGTGAGATTGCAAGTTCGATTCACGTCAAGGAATTTTCAAGTTAAAAAAATATTGTGACTTTTAAACAATCAAACATCAACAATATATTCATATCAAAAGGCCAGTTTATAAAATGTCAACTGTACCTTGGCCGAGGTTGTCTGGAACCTTATGCGATATAAGGTTATAGGTTTTAGATACGATTTATCAACCTGAACCGATCTTTGATAGGCTTATTAATCTGAACCCCCTTGCAACAACCTGTTTCATGGCTTGAAACAAACTTCTACCTCCAATTAATAACTTGTCACGAATTAACTTTTCTTAAAATTGTTCCTGGGATTCGAGCCCGAATACCGCATCGTATTTTTTATCACGGAGGCCTCGACAGGAATTTCTTTTTAATATATATATATATATATATATATATATATATATATATATATATATATATATATATAGTATCAAAAAATATGTTTTTGTTTTGTTCTTGTGTTCTCGCCTTATTGCAATATCTGTAACAAGGTGCCAAACCATGATCACTAGATTAGTTAGCTGCTGCCCTCATACATCTGGAAGAGATGAGAGCGGTGTTAAATAGCATACACTCATTTACTCCTTGCATTTGTACCTACATGTACAGAGGGACGGACATGTGGATCGAACGAGGCGATGTGTGCAGACAGTAAGCGGTGCATACCGAACATGTGGCTCTGTGACAAAGAACGGGACTGTGCCGATGGGAGCGACGAGGCGGCCTGTGGTATGTTACAAAGTACTAAAAAGAAGAATAAAAATAACCATCTTAAAACGAAGCGTTTGTGTGAGAGATGTCAATCTTTGCAAATTTACCCTGCCCTGCCCTGCCCTGCCCTGCCCTGCCCTGCCTATCCCAGATCCTACCAGAGCTACCTTTCTTAACCTTAGCCCACCCCAGGCTGCATTGTACCTACTCCCCACCCCCCCCCCCCCCCCCCCAACCCCCCACCCCCACCCCAACCCCCACCCCAACCCCCAACCCCGACCTTCCCGTACCCTCTCTCTCTCTCTCTCTGTGTCTCTCTCTCTCTCTCTCTCTGTGTGTCTCTCTCTCTCTCTCTGTCTCTCTCTCCACTTCGGTGGAACCAACAAGCACATGCATGTGCATGTGCTACTGACAAAACTAGAAACGTAATATGATTCATACACATGAACAAATGTTCCTGGCACGCCTAAGGGACGTTACTCTGTACAGCGGATTTTAGCGGGTGAGAAGACGCAGCCACCCGTACTCACTTCAGGGTACTATATAGAAATAATCTCTGGAACCTACGACTGTTGTAATGGTAGCTAGACATTTAACTCATACTTTTTCGTACGTGTGTATATTTAAAGTCCATTTACTGGTCAAATTCGTTTACTGACCAAACTAAATTTCTTTAGACATGTACATATGCAAGGCGAATCAGACACGGTGTGCGGACGGCAGTGCCTGTGTCCAAAACAGATGGCTCTGCGACGGCGACAGTGACTGTGCTGATGGCAGCGACGAGGGTCCACAGTGTAGTAACCGTACGTACACTACTTGCTTTACATAGTACCAGTAATTCAGACTGAAACTAATATGTGTATGTGGAATGTGGCTGCATTAGCATTGTATTCAGCTTTGTTACAATAAGATTTGAACCCATTTTGGGGTATGCATTGCCGTTAAACAACAGGGCGAGTCAACTTAATTGATCATTTGTTCGGGATCGATTGCTTGATCGCGTGTCAGCACACTCCGATGGCGTGATTCGTTGCTCACAATTCAGTGACTGAGAAAAGGTCATGTTTATAAAATCCCGACGAATACGGTGTTTGACCTTTTGCCTCGACATTGGAAGTAAACTGTGCAGTGTTCAACAACAAACAGTAAGAGATGTTCGGTTGCACTCAATATCTGGCATCCATTATTGTGGCAAGCACTTATGATAGCCATGTGATCATGTGAACGCAGAGAACGTGCCAAGCTAACCCTTGCCCGCTGGGCCACCAACCCCTTATTGATATAAGTATGCAATTATTTCATATCAGGCTGTAATAACCAACATCTTGGACACCAAAGTGTGAATGTTTAATGTAACGCCGGTTTGAACAGTGTCATATCATGACGTCACAGCTTCATGTGAGAAGAAGCTAAAAGTGATGCAGGTTGTCACCAGTTCTATCAAACGCATGAACCACAAGTATTTCGATTACCACGATTGATTGAAAGCCCGAAGTGATGCAGGTCTCAGACGTTTACCACTTCGGTGAAACCCACGAGCACGGGTATGGTGCTGACAAACCTAGAAACATAATCGGGGCGAACCGGGAATCGAACCCACAATCATAGGTTTCTGGCGTGTCCAATGGACGCAACTCTGCACAGCGAATCGCGGCGCCTTAGACGACTGGCCACCCATGCGCCCCGGCGCCCTTGGAGACTATGATAGGGTACCTTTTGTGATTGACATGTGCTGCCATTTGATTTCTCCACAGACACGAAAACATGTAATGTTGACTCGGCCATGTGTTCCGACGACAACCAGTGCATCCCGGTTTCTTGGCTCTGTGATGGAGAAGAGGACTGCTTCGATAAAAGTGATGAGACAAACTGTGGTATGTTGTTCTCAATTATTTTGAAATGTCAATTACAAGTTCGAAAAATATCTTACATGTTGTTCCTTCAATCAATATATTGGATATTATACTTCATCGGCTTGTTTTTATTTGTTTATTTGTTGTTTAACGCCGCACTCAGCAGTATTCCAGCTATATGACGGCGGTCTGTAAATAATCGAGTCGGGACCAGACAATCCAGTGGTTGATATCATGAGCATCGGTCCACGCAAATGGGATCGATGACATGCATCAACAAAGTCAGCGAGCCTGACCACCCGATCCCGTAAGTCGCCTCTTACGACAAGCATAGTCGCCTTTTACGGCAAGCATGGGTTGCTGAAGACCACAGATCTTCACGGTTGTCATCAACTTGTCATTAGTCATTAGGTATATGTATAGATGTTTTATGGATACAGATAAAGTTATGCTTGTCTAAAGAGGCGACTAACGGGATCGGATGATTGGGCTCGCTGACTTGGGGGGTGCATGTCATCGTATCCCAATTGCGAAAATCGATTCTCATGATGTCAATCATTGGATTGTCTGGTCCAGATTCCATTATTTACATAATGTCGTCAGACAGTTGGAATATTGTTGATTGAGGCGATAAACAAAACACACATATAAAGTCACTATGGTCATAGAACGTCTTGTCACATACTGCTACGGTCAGTGGAGGCGTTCTGTGCGTTTTGGGGATAATTTTGAGAGCGATACCAAACATTCTTTCTTTGAAAATAATTTAACCTTTACTTGTACGAAGCATGTGGATGGCAATTCTTAATCTCTTTAGATTTGATTATAAAAACTTACTCTTTTGAACGTTAGTCCATCCCTACAATGTACACCGGGGTTAGGGACTGGTCAATTATCAAAAATTAAAAATGATAAAAAGTGATGACACCAGGTGTCCGAGAAAAAAGGGTTTAAGTAATGTACGTTCCTATCATGCACTAATTGTTTATACAAGCAGGCCCGACGTGCAGTGTTGCTGAGACAATGTGCAAGAACACCAACCAGTGCATCCGGAGCAGCCAGCTGTGTGACGGGAAGCAGGATTGCCCGGATGCTAGCGACGAGAACGGTTGCGGTAGGTGATAGGTCTGTCATAAATGATTAAAAACCAAAACTTCCAGAAAGTGTGTTTGGTTATCCCATTTATGTCTCCACCCATTATCTCAGCATGGTCAGAGATGAAATATCGATAGTTTCATGCATCGAGAGGGTAAGGCTCCAATTTATTTCGTAATATGGTTTAGAGGTCTTCTAAAGCAAATGGGTTTCACTTAATGAGATAAATAAATGCTACAAAGCCATTTAGATAAAAATAAGAAAGCATCTTGGCAGTAGAAAATAGATCAAACATTAACCAATTCAAAAAACATTCAAACAGTATAACTTATTGTGAAACATACCTTGATGCTCGCTCGTCTCTGTTACCAATATGGCCATTAGGAGACATTGTTATTTTGTTTCATTTTGTGTTGTTTGAAAAGTTTATATGTTACTTGCATTTTCATTGTGAATAAGGGGGCATGGGTGGCCCAGTCGTCTAAGGCGCCGCGATTCGCTGTGCAAAGTTGCGTCCTTTTGGCACGCCAGAAACCTATGAATGTGGGAATCCCGGTTCGCCCCGAGTATGTTTCTAGGTTTGTCAGCACCACACCAGTGCTCGTGGGTTTCACGGAAGTGGTACACGTCTGAGACCTGCATCACTTCGGGCTTTCCTCCCACATTAAGCTGATACGCCGTGATATTACTGGAATACTGTTAAAAACGGCGTTAAACACAACTCACTCACTCACTCATTGTGAATAATGTCAACATGATCACCTAGTATTATAAAGTCTTGACAGACAGACTTACATCAGTAAATTTGATATTGTGTGCCTTGTTGAGACATTTGTTGTAAATATTCCAGGAAAACATTGGCTACATGGATATGATACTTTTTACTGTCCTGCAGTTAAGTTATCCAACTATGGACGTTTATCAGGTGGTATTTGTCTGTGTGTACGTCAATCACTGAGTAGTTTCTGTAATGTTATACAAGCAGATAGAGACAACATAATTGGTCTCTCGTTATCTAAAGATTTATTTAGAATTGACAAAAATGTGAATTTGTTATGTACCTATATCCCTCCAATGGGGTCTCCTTATTATAATCATGTAAACACCAATAGTAACATTGTAAAAGTAGAAGAATTCTTAATAGATAATGATGAAATGTTTTCAAATTCATACAATTTAATCTGTGGAGATATGAACGCGAGAACAGGTGAGAGAAATAACCCTGATATTAGCAATAATGATGATAGCTTCAATCATATCGCCCCTTTCCCTGAGGAGGAGGATGACCCTGTTGAGGATCGTACTTCACAGGATACAGTTGTAAATAGATTTGGTCAAATTTTGTTGGATTTATGCTATGTTTTTAAACTTTACATCGTAAATGGACGTGTATATGGTGATACTAATGGGGAATGTACTTATTGTAGCCAACATGGATCTAGTGTGAACGATTATTTTATAAGTTCACCAGATTTTTTTCAGTTTATCAATATGTTCACTGTCGGTGATCGATCTGATTCTGATCACTTTCCATTAGAATTGATGTGTAGATTTCCAAATATGGGTAAGAGGTGCAACAATGATTCATGTATGGATCCACAAGCATCAGAGAAAATTGTATGGAATGATCATTACTCCAGTTTGTTTCTTGATAACCTGAGATATAATTTTACTGAAAACAAAGAAATGGTCCTTAAAGAAATGGATAATGCTATTGAAAACGCAATTAGCCACTTTGTCGACATTGTATTAGACTCTGCTAGCTGCATGAAAAAGACAATACGACATAATCCACAATTTGCCAATCACAAACCACTAAGTCTAGAATGTAGACAAGCGAAACGAGAAACCCGTAGGGCACTTAGGAGATTTAGAACACAAAGAACAGTCGCTAACAGAATTGTGTACTGTAGACAAAGAAATCATTATAAATTTTGTTGCAGGAAATTTAAATCCATTTCACGTAAGAAATCAGTTGAAAGATTGCATAGAAGCATAAATAGTCAATCTAGCTTTTGGAAACAGATAAGATCATTACAAAACAAACCCAGACAGAAGAATCATATAACGAAAGCAGAATGGCTGTGCCATTTTAGAGAGGTTTTTGCAAATGACAATGTTTTTTCTCCTCACTTAGATGATGAAAATGAACTCAGTTCTAATCAGTTTACAGATATTGATGCATTCATACTAAATTCTACGATAACTGAACATGAAATTACATCATCAATAAATAAGTTAAAAAAAGGAAAATCCGCCGGGTCCGATCAAGTGCTGATAGAAATGCTTAAATGTTCCCAATTAGATATTATGCTATTTCTTCATAAATGTTTCAACAAACTCTTTGATAATCAAATATTTCCAAACAGTTGGTCTTGTTCAGAAATAGTCCCTCTACATAAAAAAGGCGATCCGAGAAACCCTGACAACTACAGGGGGATCTCATTAATGAGTGTTCTGGGGAAAAATTTTACCTCTGTTTTGAATAACAGGCTTACTAACTGGGCGAATATGAGAGATAAGATACCGGAAGTTCAAGCTGGTTTTAGAAAAAATTATTCAACCATAGATCATATTTTTACATTATATGCTGCAATTCAAAATTGTCTAACACGTCGTAAACACAAGGTTTACGTTGCTTTTATTGATTTTAAAAAGGCATTTGATACAGTTGATCGTTATAAATTATGGTGTTGTTTAAGAAGAGCTGGACTACAAGGGAAGAGTTTAATATACTACAATCAATGTATTCAAATATCAAGTCATGTGTACGTAGTGATTATGGTGTTACTGATTTTATCGATTGCCCATCTGGTTTACGTCAGGGATGTATACTGAGTCCTCTGTTATTTTCGTTTTTCATAAGCGAATTATATTATGAAATCTCAAGTAACGGCAAGCATGGTATACAGATGTATCCTGACATCCTTGAACTTCTTATGCTCCTTTTTGCCGATGATGTTATTTTACTATCTGACACTGTTATTGGTCTACAGAATCAGTTGAATGTATTAGATAAATATACTAAGGAATGGAGTTTATCTGTAAATTTAGATAAGAGAGAAATTATAGTATTCAGAAAAGGGGGTTCTTTAAATTTTAGGGAAAGATGGTACTTAAATGGACAACAAATTAATGTAGTTAATGGTTATAAGTATCTCGGCATAATGTTTAATTCAACACTAAATATGAACAAATGTGTATCTGACTTATCACTGCGAGGGAAACGAGCTTTACTTAATATAATGTCTGTTTCACATAAACTTGGAGTTATTACTCCAAAAGTATTTTTCAAATTATTTGATACTCAAATACAGCCAATTTTATTGTATGGATCTGAAGTGTGGGGTTACCGAAGATATGAATGTTTAGAAAGAATTCACCTACTGGCATGTAAAAAGTTTCTTCGCGTTGGAATAGCAACACCAAATTATATGATATATGGAGAATGTGGAAGATACCCACTTTACATTAATTCACAAATAAAGTGTTTAAAATATTGGTTTATCATCCGTATGCCAGAACATCGGCTTCCGAAAAAAGCTTATAACATGCTCTTTCATTTAGATAGTATCGGTAAGGTTACATGGGTATCGCATATTAGGACACTATTATTCTCACATGGATATGGGTATATATGGCTTAACCAATCTGTTGGTGATCAACATTTATTTCTAAATGATTTTCGTAAAATAGGAATAAATATGTTCTATCAAGGGTGGCAAAGCAACTTGGAAAATAGTTCACGTTATGATTTGTACAGAACATTTAAGACTCTATTAGAGCCAGAAAAATATCTATCAGTTTTAACAAATAGTCACCTAAGAAATGGATATATTAAATACAGACTTGGCTTGTCAAAACTTATGATTAACTATGGACGGAATATATCACTTGAAAGAATACAAAGAATTTGTCCATTCTGTAACTCTGCAATAGAAGACGAAATACGTTTTACCTTTGAATGTCCTTATTATGCAGAATTACGTACTAAATATATACCAGAATGTTTCTTATCTAAGACGAGTAGAATAGCTTTTGTTTCTATTTTGTCATCGAATGATGCCGATGTAATGTTTAAACTGTCTTTATTTGTAAAACATGGGATGGAACTACGAAATAACATGTTGAGTGGAAATTCATAATTTTAATTACCTCACCCTAGAAAGCCCTCATGATTATCACCGATTGTTAAATGAATGTTATATTTATATAATTTTTGTTGTATCTCCCAATCTGTAAATTCTCACCCACTGTATTTATCTGAACTTGTATATGGGCCGATGGCCTTTGATACAATAAACATCTTTGACTTGACTTGACTTGACAGACTCGTCGTTGTTGGCCAATTAGTCAAATATTCAAACGATTCATTATGTTTCTTGCGACTCAAAGATATTTCTCAGGTGGTTTGATCGAGGCTCATGAGATCAATCACTGGATTGTATGGCCCAGACTCTATAATTTACAGACCGCCGTCATATAGCTGACAGATTGTTGAGTGTGGATGTTAAGCAAATAAACAAAACAAAAAACACTCATCTAAAACGTTATTAGGTAAGGGGGTGTGATAACAAAAATGCCAGCATATAAGTATAACAATAATTACAAGACAACGGTAATAATTGTGTTTTCCTTCTCTTTACAGCTGCTGTGTACAGTTTGAAGAAAATTCTTCAAGGTTTCAAAACACTTTTTAATAATGTCTCTTTGTCAAACTGAATGTGATGGCAAGGGAATATTGGCCACCCTACATTGTCAAGACCTCTAATCAAAGCAGTAGATTACCAAGTACCAAGCAGGCTTCGATACCATCTTCACTGGCTCCCCATCCCGTAGAACCATCCTCCAAACCAATGGCCGCATAGAAATCGTTTGTCGTAAGAAGCGGCGAACAACAATTTTTTTATAAACAGAGATCAAGAATAGAATACCTCGTCTGCCTATGAAGATCTATTTAAGCATTTGACTATTTCAATTAGGATCCTACCAGCTTGTCACAACTGTATAATCCCTTTAATACGCATCCTTCCTTTATATCTGGCTTCACATCCCGTGTGCTTCGTTACATGTGTGCTATTTGTTATTTTTACTGTACATTTGGCTTCATCCAATAGATACGCCTGTCTATAAACTATGATGATGAAGATTTGCCCCTTTTTTTGGTTAAAAATGAAATTTAAATCAAACTTCACTCTTTGTGTTTTACCTATAATCAGTGACATGTAGAAAAGAGAATACTGCACAGGGAGAAGAGAACACAAAGCTAAGCACCGCAGTAGAATGGCAGACTGTATGCCACTATTTTTATACCAGTAGTTCTACTGTCACTGGGCGGGGTAGTCTAGTGGTTAAAGCGTTCGCTCGTCACGCCGAAGACCCGGGTTATATTCCCGACATGGGTACAATGTGTGAAGCCCATTTCTGGTGTCCCCAGCCGTGATATTGCTGCAATATTGCTAAAAGCGGCGTAAAACCATCCTCACTCACTCACTGTCACTGGGCGCCTTTTATAGACGTTAGAGGGCGCCTATTACACTGGTAATAAACACACTACTTTGACTCCCTGATTTTGTGTTAAAACTGGTAGAAAGGGCCAGCAATAAGATAATAGAGTTAGATGATCTACGCTATGTCTTACTAAATATGTGTTTAAAGCGTGAAGATTTCACTCACCCACAGGGTCCGTAAAGGCCCCTTTACACAGGGCTGCGACCTTTGTGTCACGTTTGAGCGATCAAAAACTGGCCAGGACGCTCAGTGGTCGCCTAAACCCAGAAAATCATGTTTCTATGCACACGCTGGACCTTCATTGACAGAGACAAAGAAGACATCATTTTTCATCAAGACCATGTGCAGCAACACGTGATGCTCAACTTGAATTCTGTGCCGCTCCTCCAAGGCTAAGGAGAACACTCAAGACTTCTTTAGAAACGCACCCAAGACTGCTGCCCTGATACGACGTGGAAAAATAAAACGACAAACAGATCCGACACCCAAAACAGATATGTAATTAATACTCTTGCAGATCATCTCAAAGAAGTATTTTGGGTAAATATGAACCACATTCCAATGATGAGTTCATAGTGGACATTGACAAAGAATTTGAGAAAATACATCAAACAATCCAAGCAGAATGTAACAAAGCTGAACTTTATCAACTTCACAAGACAAGAGATTATTCGATTGTGCCACTCTCTTAAAAACAATAAATCAACAGGTGAATACAAAATTACCCATGAACACTTCGTGTATGGGGGAAAATATTTATCAAGATGTCTTTCTATACTTTTCACTCGCATGTTAGAATCAATATATATCCAAAGAGTTTGGATGAATTGGGTTAGTGTGCCCATATTTAAAGGCGGAGATAAATGTAAAATGTCTCCAAACTCATAGAGACGTGACACTTCATACAGTTATATTCAAACTGTTTGAAATTATGCTCTCAAAATGGCAGATCACAGATTCTGACACCTTGCCATGAAACCAGCAGTACGGCTTCCATAAAGGAGTGTCATCAATCCACACATCCTTACTGGTACCATAACTCAGAGCGTTCTGATGCAGTTCATGTAGCCTTTCTTTTCAGCTCGAAGGCTTTCGACACATATCTAGCTACCAGTCTTGTCTTCTCTTTAAACTCTACTATATGGGAGTGACACATCCTCTTCAGACAATAATTGACCATATTAACACGAATATGAGTTGTGTTCTAGCAAACAACGAGACACCATACTGGTGTCAGCTTCACAGAAGTGTTAGACAAGGGAGCATGTTATCTGCAAAACTATACCTACTGCATATAGATGAATTCTGGCGAAACTTACAACAAAGAACAAAGGATCTGTTGTTCTGGACATCAGCATTACAGCTCCCACCCAAGCTGACGACACCACTTCACACTCCAGTTCCATCACATCTTCAAAAAATGGTGTCCATTTGTGAAACGTAAAGAGGGAAATGGAGATTTACATTTTTTTCCTTCAAAGAGCCGTCGATTAACTTTTGGCCTAGCAAGTGCTGCTAGCATCAATATAAAACAGAATGGTCAAGCAATTCCTACTACTAGAGAAACTAGACATGTTGGAATGTTACTTGACACGCCTGACATTCGACGCCTGCACAATGATGATGTCGACTACGATGTCGCTGTTACGAACAGGGGTCCACGAAAGAAGACTGAACCCTCTGGTGAGTTACAACATCATAAAGGGTGTCTGTGTCCCACGAGCAGAGAAATGGATGTGAATTGTGAGCTGTAATAAAATTGCACTAGGCCTCCTTTGTACGACAGGGACTGACTTTTGCGACGCCGTAATTGGATGGACACCTTTGGCATAAGAGATAAGAGAAAACTTCTGTTTCTCGGGAACCTATGCAAGTCCCTCCGAGAACAATCCTCAGAACTGAGCTCTCCCTTTCGAATTACAATTGCTCTACCACTTCACTCGCTTATGTTCCTGACAGTATGCGTATTATATCCAAATATAATCTTGAACAATTCCTGAACACCTTTAGCCCCCATTGGACATTCCCCAGCTGTCATACCTGGACGAAAGATGTGAAAGATGTCATAAGGGCGAATAAACTTGAAGCCTGGAGAAGACACATAAACTCTGATCCAGATCTAAAACACTTTGTACAAATTCATCCGGTTATCGCCCCCCACAAATCAAGGGAAATCGCCAAAAGAAATCCAGACCTGAAACAAGCTGCAACCTTCGTGATCCAGATGGGTGCAGCCCGGAGACCTGGGAAAGTCTAGGATGCGTGAGACATGTCAAACTTTGTGCTTCAGGACCTGCTCGTTCATGTTGTGTGTATCTGTCCACAGGCAGAGCAACTCGGTGGGGTAGCACAGTGGACACTTGTCCAGTGGAAGTCAGTGTGGCTCTCCATAACAAGCAGGATATAGACATAATTTGCTGTCTGCTATCATGTAGGTCCCAGCAAATCCAGAAAATGTTGGTATCTCGCAAAAGCTGCAGTAAAAGGTCTCTTCCAAATGAAGAATTATATTGACCGTGTGAAGAAATATTATATTCTCAGACATTAAAGCAGACTTAATATAATAATGCATATTTTTGTAAACGTGTTAGTACTTTGTGAAAATGTTTGTTTATTCCTATGGAGGAATAAAGAATATGTATTCTCACCGCCAAAAGAAACGCTAATACCCTATATGTTGGCTAATATATGAAGACTTACTCGTATTCATTAGATATTAGATTGGTTCGATGAACAAACGAACATACTGGTATGTTGTGTGAACCAATGCTCATGAACGCATCACATCTGACGTCACAGATCCATGACTCGAGAGGCACCACTCGTCTCGTGCAGGATTAGCGTTGTTAGTTTGCAAATCACTTGCAGCATTCCGTGATAAGAATAAGAATAAAGACCTCCACTCTGTGGTAACACCTGACTGATTTTTAGTTTTGTCATTAATTGGTAAACATGAACACAGTGTTTTTATTAAATTAAGATGTAATGTTTTACCTTTACGACAGAACGAGGGTTGATGGCAATCTATTGAATCATGTTTACGTATGTTTCCTGTTTGCAATATGTCTGTTGAAGATGAATAGCACTCCATATTGATCTGTAAACATTATACTGAACTGCGTAAAGTGTATTTGCCAGAATTGTATTGGAAATTTACAACTATATATAAATTCAAAAGTTTATTGTGTACACCTCTGTATGAGTTATTAAAATGTCTGCAATATTATGTATATTATGCATACAAAAAAAGAAAGAAATGAAGTCGTAAAATCCATGTAATGCGCTTCACATTGTATTATTGGCATTGCATTTCTTGTATATGGGCCAAAGGCCTACACACAAATAAATTAATTTTGACTTTGACTTTGACACGATATGCACCATTTATCTCGTGCAGGATTAGCGTGTAAAGTTTGCAAATCACGTGCAACATTTCGTGATAAGAATAAAATTAAGACACTCCACTCTGTAGTAACACTTGACTGCTTTTTAGTTTTGTCATTAATTGGTACACATGGGAAACATCTCGTCTTAACGTACATACTTCTCTATATGTGTCTTTGGCTCGCGATCCCTTTGACGGTATATATGTCACGCTTCATGCACACTTGGAATATTAACCCTATATGTGGCTTTATGACAGATGATACCGGCTTAGTTAGTTTTTGGTTTGGTTTGGTTTGTTGTTTAACGCCGCACTCAGCAATATTCCAGCTATATGACGGCGGTCTGTAAATAATCGAGTCTGGACCAGACAATCCAGTGATTAACATCATGAACATCGATCCACGCAATTGGGATCGATGAAATGCATCAACCAAGTCAGCGCGAGCCTGACCACCCGATCCCTTTAGTCGCCTTTTACGACAAGCGTAGTCGCCTATTACGGCAATCATGGATTGCCGACGACTTATATATTCTACCTCAGTACTTATAATGACTAAACACATATGCACATTTAGAATATTAATTGCAGTCACTTAAAATGTAATTTGATTATGTATGAAGCCCCGTGCAGAATTATAATATCTTTAAAAGAGTAAATCACCATCTCAAATTTGGAATAAGACACACAATATGTTATGGAGTAATGTATAATACCCATATCACCTACAATTATATCATTTTTAATTGGTATGAGTCGTTATGCATTAAATTACAGGCAAAATGATAAAACGTTGTAAGATGATTAATTCATTCTTAGTTATTCTATAGTCCGTTAGAAATATTGCCTTAAAACACAAACAATAACATGAGAACTTTTCCTTTACTTCATGACAATATATGAAGTTAAAGTGACGAGTTAGTATGGCAAATAAACAACTTTCATGTCATTAAAGACAACTTGTCCCTTTTGGATTTTTATCTATGTTGCATTTCATCGGTACGATATTGCAACAAACGGACTATAACTCTAACCACAGAGCGTTGTCATCATCACATAATAAGTTGGGCGTGACGTAACAAGTAGTCCACATGAAGCATTTTGTTCTGAGCTGTCTCTTTAACCGGTACCCGGGACGCCATCAGAACAGAACAGAACAGAGTTTATTCTCAAAAACACACAATGGTTGTATAGAGAACATTCATTACGAAGTATAATACAGTTGTACAACGAATGTAGCACAATACAAGCAA